TACCACCTCCCATGGCTTTGACGATGGGACTGCCTCGAGTCCTCCCACCCGCTCCATATCCTCCCACGGGCGTATTCGTTGAACCCTCAGCACCTCCACTACCATCACCACTACTACCACCACCACCACCTTACACTGAAGTGGAGAAAATGCAATTGTGAAAAGTCTTCCACTCCACAGTACACCAACCATTCACTCTCTTCCACAATCTAAATTCTTCTTTTGCTTAACTAAACGGTAACTGTTGCGTGATGCAAACTGAAATGCTTTTCGGCATGAATGAGGCGATGGAGAGGTCGCGTAGATTTTGGGACCTAAATCGTGGAGAATGGGTTCCACTTACGCGCGGTGGATATCGATGTTGTCGGTGTCAAGTTTCATTCACCCTCGAGAAAGAGGCTTCACCCGAGGAGTCATCCACCTGCAAGCTGCCTCAGGTCACTGTTAAGGCGGAGGTTACTCCATTCCAAAAGACAGAACGTCGTTCTGGACGGATAAAGCAGTTCACCACGGAGATGAGAGGGTCGCGTTTCGAGTCAGTGTACCTCACATGCAAGTGCATGCATAAGGAGGTTTCCTCTCCCGAATAGTTGAAGTATGTTGAGCACACTCTATGTGCTTCATTTTCGATACTTCATGGTAGACAGCTGCAATCCAAATGGGTAGTTAATGAGTAGCAAAAATGACATACAAAAGGAAGTAGTTTAGACATTTGTCTGACAAGTATTTCAACAGAGATCACCAAAAGTTCTCGTGTATTTTTAGTCTTTAGACATTGTACTGCCCCAAATGGCCTGTAGAATGTTCGTGCTCTCTAGTTTTTGATGTGAACAGGAACGAGAATCGCTCGATAATGAAGTATTTGTACCGTAGTAGTTTAAGGCCTTATACATCTCCTCGTCATTCTGTCTCACAACAGAAGCATTACCCTGCCATCACATGGTAAATCAGCCATAAACAAAAGGTCACGACGACCCATTTGAGAGGCCATATTACCATGCTTACACAGATGCACATTCCAAAAAGATGGAAGAAAAACAAATTTGTCCTCATTGTAAGCATGCAAAACCGCCGCCCTGATTTGTGCTAAAAACTAATTTTTCTTTCCCATTAATATACCCGTTATAAAAGTCACTGCCTCTTCAAGGGATAAAAATAACAACTAATGACTTTTCAATAAATCTGCTGAAGACACCTTCCCCAAGCCCCTTCAAGTTTGACGACAATAACGGTACTACTTTGTCAAACCGATACATGGTTTTGAAAACAGTTTGTGCCTACTGATACTATATAAGTAGGCACGAAGGCCCCGAGACAGCAATTCCCGGGGGAGTAATGAGGAAAATCAGACCTTACAAAAGACCTTGGATCGTACGTATCTAAAGAGAGAGAGGAGAGATTAGACAAAATAAATACAATTTCGGCAGCCTTAAAATGAAATTATCGGCAACTGTCATCGGTAAAACAGATAAAATCACCTGCCAGAATGGAAGGAAATGACAAAATAGACAGCCCTAGAGGTCAGAAGCTAAGATTTGTGACTCTTCACAGGTCCCCAAGGAAAAAGGTGATTGGCTCAAAGTCGACATACCCGAGAGGTAATTTGACGATGCTACACTTCAACGTAGTGGAATTACTCGCATAGCTTACTTCAGGCTTTGGAGTTTGTTTATTCGATTGCCTTGTTTGTAAACAAGGCAAATGGAGCATGTCTTCCTCGAAATTGTTCAAATTATCTTTGAGTTTACGTTATAGAAGTGCCTGAGACATCAAAAAGGAGGAATACAAAGCTCTCAACCAGGCCCGACCCCCCATCACGCCCAATGAACTTACCAAAAATAAATGCTCACATTTTTATGAAACCACGGGCCCAAATTTCGGCATTCGGTACAAGTTATCGAGCTCCACGCTAAAAGATAAAAACCACCTTGTGAATCGAGTTACATCAAACGGTATGCCAAAGCATCAAGACAAAAGGTGCGCACTTAATTTCCTTTTGTGAGTTTTCAATTGAAGAAAAGTAGGATTACAGTGAAAATACTTCAGAAAAAAATACAACTTCATTTAGAAATGCGGGGCATCTGCACACCAAAATAGCACATTTTTGAGGAGATGAGAGCACCACAGTTGGTGTGACACCAACCCTTGCTCAGTTAAGGTCATTTTGGCGCTACTAGTGGAGCATGAAAGCATCAAAGGACTCAACAATTTCCACCCGCCTCTGAAGCGTGTAAATTTTACTTTACCGAGGGACGCCAGCAAAAAGGCCTTGTGTAACGTGTTCGACCCTGAGCCCACAAATAAGAGTGACTTCCTTAAGAAGAATATCGATTCGAATTATTCAAAATTCACTCGTTTCAGCAAAATTTGAAATGGTAAGCAGTGAACTTGGCGCCACCATAAATGTCACCTGTGAGTCTGATGTCAGCCTTTGGTATATTAGCATTTCTTAAAGTTGTTTAGCAGTCGCCATACCTACTAAGAATTGCAAAAACCTTCCCAGAACAAATTCTAGCATATCCAAAGAGCATGAACCTTTTCGATGCGATAAATACGAGCCAACGCTTGGACAATTTTTATGCCTCACTATGAGCAGATGGCACGCTAAGTGAATACGTGTATCACTCACAATTTTTTGCTTAGTTCATTACATTCTCCATAATTATGCCAGTAGAGTTAAAACGAATTTTTTCCCTTTCATTAATGCCATATTTTGAATTTTATTTACCAGTTTATGATTTGGTCTTAGTAGTGTGACAGTGTATAACCTCGCACGGGTCATATTACACCAAAAATGGCTGGCAAAAGTGTTGTTTTTGTCAAGGAGTAAACATACATTGATCAAATTGGCGTAAGTCACATTAGGCAAGGAACACAAGTGACTGATAAAGGAGAGAGCAATGCCAACATCACAGGAGTCTAAAAGGAAAAAGATGAAATGAGAAATGTAAAGCAAATACACTGTAAATCAGGGATTCCATGCTTCGGAAACTACGCTACTGCCCCCTCTTTATGCATACTCTTTACCCGAATCGGTCAAACTTCTCATTTATCTTTGACATACCATATATTGAAACCCACATTTGACATTGATTTTACTAGCCAAGTGCCACGTGGCCTCATCCCAAACCTAACCTCTTATTGGTTCTGGCGGTAGCCAATAGAAACCTAGACTGAGCCAACCAATGGCAAGGCAGAACGAGGCTATCCTAGACTACGAAGCGGAATCCCCGATGGAGAAAAACAAGAGGCTGTGCAAGGTATGCGATCAAAATCATTTATTCTGCAAATTACACACGGAGACGAGGAGAAGTGATCAAGAGAACTTACAATGTACAAGGGCCAGGTAGGAGGATAGGACCAAAACACTGACCCAGTGACTTGGCAGAAATCAATCTATTAAAGAAAAAAGGGATAAAATTTAGACATACATAAACAGATTGACTTGTCCTGCAGCGTTTAACACCACTTTGGGGACACAAATGATCAAGAACCAAGTAAAATTTCATGTGTCACTTTGAAGGGAGGTGAATAATTTCTACAACAAAGTCAACCAGAGAGCAGTCTTGCGAGACCGTGACCAGCGCATCAACCAATAGGAACGGAGCATTTTGATCGTCCCTGAACGTTTTTAAGAGGCCATTGGCAAACATTTTCGCCTTACAAGACTTAGCGTTTTGTGATGAAAGAACGCAACTAACGGGTAGATGAAGGGAGAAGAGTAGTCATTTCTTGGGCAAAATAGCGGACGAGGTTTCCTACTACAAAAGAGTTGCGAGAAGCACGCCAAAAGTGTGCAAATTGCAGAG